CGTTGTGGGACACGTCCTTGTCGTTGTGGGACACGTCGTTGTCGTTGTGGGACACTCCACCTTTGTGGATATACACCAGCATTTATCTTCGCCACTACTTGGCCCAAGGACCAGAAGTAGAGCTGTCAATCCCAATAACCAGGAGATACGCATTGCAGAACTGCCAAGGTAGCTCTTGGTGGTGTTTGGCAGATGCAACTGTTATATAGCAGATGAACGCAGGGGAGCTGTCAGTTGGGGCATTTCGAGTTTGGGGGTATGCTCGTGCAACTCTAGATAGATGAGCGGACGGTTTCACATTAAGATCAGTGGGCGAAGGGTATTTTTAGGTTTGTTAAGGTAGACCTAAAGGGTGTATTGCCCACTTGTTGTCTTCCTCAGGCAGGCACCCGTCCATATTTAGTCTGTTTCCATATTTAGATCTCAGTATTTTCGGTAGTTTACATAATGACATATGGTGATATGGTTGTAAACAATGCAATTATAGTATGTCAGTGTTCGCAAATGATTCGAATAACAATTTATTTTATAAAATTGGTCAACAAGGCTCAGCTGCTAAAGCTACCATTATAACTGGTCAATATACGAGGTGCAAAACAGGCAAATGATTGACAGAAAACAAGCTAATTTTGTACATTAAAAACCAGGTAAAGAAGACCTTGGAAGACAAACGAACTTTCTCTAATCTCGAGCAAGATCGAAGCAGCGTGATCTCGTTTGTTTCTTGTTTTTATTTGTTCTTTTGTTTTTTGTTTTTATTGGCTTGTAGTGTCATGCAAACAGAATTATTTGGATTACAACATCAATTATCGAGTGATGGAGGTTATCCGAAGAAAATCTCAAAGAATTGTTGTTCAATCGACATTTTTCAATATCACAAGTTGAGTAAATATAGGCTATACGGTTTGAAATACAGCGCACTATATAAGTAGCTAACAGCTTCTGTAATACCAACAATTTGAGTTTGGCATTCAGTATGAGGTGCCACTTGCTATTTTTTTTCCTGGGCCTCGGCCTAGTGGCGTGTATTTCGGCCGCACGGACCGACAATAGTCTTGAGAACTTGGATACCGTTAGTGACACCGCTACAGGCAGCGCTTCCGGTACAGGCAGCGCATCCGGTACAGGCAGCGATCCCGATTCAGATCTGGATGGCCCGGACAACGATAAAGTGGTGGATAAGATTAAAAATACCAAAAATGATAAAGCCACCAAGTTAAGCCCCGTCGCCAGCCCCGTCGCTAGCCCTGTCGCCAGCCCTGTCGCCAGCCCCGTCCCCAACCCCGTCCTCAACCCCGACGTAGACCCCGACAGCGAAACTGACATTGATATAGACGGGGAAACGGATCTACTAAAAATCCCAGCTCCCTTGCGCTTGAAACCCAATCGCAGGCCCAACAGTCGCAGGCAACCCAACAGAAGGCGCAGGAATAGGCGCATGCCAAACAGGCGCAACAGCTTCAGACGCAGGAGCAACAGGCGAAGGAATATGAGGCGTAGCAACATCAGACGCCGTAATAACAAGGGCCGTTCCCGAAGAAGGCTCAGAAATCGTGGTTAAGTTGCTCTCTAAGTGCTTGATTATTGGTAATGATCAAGCCCTGTTGCATTGTTATTAACTATTTCGATTATTTGGTAAATAAAAACATTTCAATCAAATTTAATAAGCACAATGTATTTGCTATTTACATAGGCGTGTTTTTTAAGAAAGGCTTTAGGTCCTGTAGAAACCACAACATAGCTTATACATATCTTGCCTACGGGAGAAATATCTATCATGAGCCAGGATTTAATTGATCGATCACAATATTGATAAGCGCTGAGCTTGGTGATCGGCAGCCCAGAATTATGGTGGATACGATTTCTCGTACTCATCTATAGAGGAACAGAGACGGAGTCACAGACTTCTGAAATAATGTATAATATAAAGATGTGTAAATACTTCCCAAAAGTCGATTTATGCATTTTCGAGCTCCACATTGTTGTCTGTTGCGTCGTCAAGTTGACACAGCTTGGTGGAAAATATACGGGTGGGAATTATATGGAATTTGTACATCTGTTTCAAACTAGGTGAAACACGTAAGAGTTTATATCTGCGCAGTTTGATGTGAGCAGAAATACTTTTAAATCTAACAACCTTGAACTAGTCAATTACGAGCGCATTTACAAAGTTATCCAAATGATTCTAGATGGTAGAATTCTTTTCAATTTGTTTATTTTTACAAAATAATTACGGTTTATGCTTTTTTTTATTTTTTTATTTCATTACCAGATAAAGTATTTAAAGATTTTTGACAATTGTTAGACATCTTTACATTTAATCTAAATGGAGTTATTTTGTAAAGCTATGGAAGATAGAGAGCACAGTATATGGGAGAAAGGGTTACATGAATGTAACTATTACACTTTAAGTTTAAGAAAGGATACTTAAGAAGCCTTTATTGAGATGCGTAACGAGTATATGGGATAGCAATATTGACAAAGCTCAGAAGAGTTTGTCGATGCTATTAAGTATTTGTCTCTCTCTTTTTTAGCACATGAATCAATTCGCACAGCTGGCGTCGTCATACACTTGTATAATTACTTGTATTATGGATTTTAAAGACCATTGTTATGTCTCAAGTTGAGTAAATAGAGGATATACGATTTGACAAATTCATATTTAGATTCAAATTTTCGCCGACTATAAAAGACACTCGCAGCTATTGCAAATTTATCAAATCGAAATCGACATTCAAAGCGAGAGATAAGATGAAGTTCAATGCGCGGTTCCTTCTCCTGGCCTGTCTCTGCCTGTGGGTCTCCCTGGCGGTAGCACAGGACGACTACGACTATACGTATGCAGTGGATGACACTGATGCAGGCGTGCCTGCCGAACCTGAAGACGGCGGCTTGGACAACCCTGATGGCGGAGACGACGGCACCGAAGTGATCGACGACTCTGGCAACTATTACGACACAGTCGATGAGGAGGTGCCCACCCCAGCTCCAGTCGTGGTCAGACCCAGCCGTAGGCCGCGCCCTCGCAATCCCAACAGGCGCCGCCCGAATGCTAACAGACGCAACAATGGCAACAGGAGGCGTAACGTTAATGGCAACAGGCGCAACAACAACAACGTCCGCAACAATAACAACAACAGGCGCAATAGGCGAAACCCAAGAGCCGCAAGAGGTTAAAAATTCAACTATAAACTACACTGAATAAAAGCATCGATTGAAAAAGCACAAATTAGAGCTTCGATTTTCCTTTCAGCAGAGCAAATTTATGCGCATCACAAGATCAGCAACAATTTGACTTAGATCTAGCTTAGCCATTGAGAAAATATTGCCCTCGGCAGTATTGCTACTTGGAATTGCAATGGCTGATGAACTGAATAAACACCATCGCACCATGAGAGCCAACAAAGCAGTCAATGTAGATCTAGATTGTGCAGAATTGGGGAATAGCAGAAGTAAAAGTTCTTAAGGTATCACAACAAAGTACGAACTGGTAAATTAGACGCAGTAATATACTGATTGGGCATCGCAGAATGCTCGGAAGATGCTTACTCTCCAAGAGGACTTGAACAGTTTTGGGTTTGCAAACTATAAAAACCCTTTCCAACATGCTTGATATTATAGTTTCATCATTTATGTGTCCTTAAGATCGAGACAAGATTTACAAATAAAATAATAATTGAACAACAATTAGATAGAATAAAACAACAAAGGAAACGAAATCCTCTGAACCCTTCGAAGAATTGATATTTCACTATGATCATTCGGGTCTTTCTGCTTACACAAGAAACACACGCACTCACACGCGTGAAAACATCGGAATGCAAGCATAAACACGCGTTGGCTGCAGTGTGGGCTTACTATGGAAAATTTATTGCTTAACTTTTCTTGCTGATGAGCCATGCTCATGAACCTTTCAGGTCGTCATTATAACATTAAAGCGATAAGGTTTTTAATCGATAATAAAACATCGGGAATCGTTATAAATTTTTAAAGAAAAACTCGATATGCTCAAAAACTCAAGTCCTTAGCTCTTATACTTGACAGACGGACAGGGCTACATCGACTCAGCTCGTTGTGCTCATCAAGAATATATATACCTTATGGGGTCTGTCATGCCCCCTTTTGCCTCTTACTTATTTTTATCGAAACCATTATACCCTGATTTCCCACTTTCTATAGGTTCAGGATATACAAATTAATTTTTTAATTTTTCTCTGGTTATTGGTTCACTGAATGTATTTAAATTGTGTAATCATTTATAAATCACAACAGTTGCAAAATTTATATATCAATATGCACGTAAGGCTATGAGAGATATCGAGTAGAGAAGAAAAAGTCATATGGATGGAACTATTACATATTACATTTATGGAGGAACATATTTAAAAGCCTATAAGAGAAGATTCGATCTAATAAATCTGAAGGATGTTGGCATCGTAATAGTTCCCTGGTTTTAGGTCTATAGGCCAATTCGTATGAGTGCGAACTCTTGCTTGACTACTCTGGTATCTCATGCTTTTGATACATGAGTTGCTAGAATAATCATGCAAGACGTCAAGAAAGAAGTTCAAAAAGCTCCAGAAGGCCAAGTGATCTTTTCTTTGAATTAACATCGCGAAGTTTGTGCAAGTGATAATTAGGCACACGTGTATTAACTAACACAACCATAACAAAGTGACGCATTATTGATATTTTATTTTGAGACAGACCTATGTCACTTTCTGCTATTTAGCTGCGTAACTACTAGTGTATGGAATAGCAATATTGACTTAGGCTCTAGAAAGATTGTCAACACTTCCAAAGCAAATATAGATTATAGATTTGAAAGACCATTGTTATGTCTCAAGTTGAGTAAATAGAGGATATACGATTTGACAAATTCATATTTAGATTCAAATTTTCGCCGACTATAAAAGACACTCGCAGCTATTGCAAATTTATCAAATCGAAATCGACATTCAAAGCGAGAGATAAGATGAAGTTCAATGCGCGGTTCCTTCTCCTGGCCTGTCTCTGCCTGTGGGTCTCCCTGGCGGTAGCACAGGACGACTACGACTATACGTATGCAGTGGATGACACTGATGCAGGCGTGCCTGCCGAACCTGAAGACGGCGGCTTGGACAACCCTGATGGCGGAGACGACGGCACCGAAGTGATCGACGACTCTGGCAACTATTACGACACAGTCGATGAGGAGGTGCCCACCCCAGCTCCAGTCGTGGTCAGACCCAGCCGTAGGCCGCGCCCTCGCAATCCCAACAGGCGCCGCCCGAATGCTAACAGACGCAACAATGGCAACAGGAGGCGTAACGTTAATGGCAACAGGCGCAACAACAACAACGTCCGCAACAATAACAACAACAGGCGCAATAGGCGAAACCCAAGAGCCGCAAGAGGTTAAAAATTCATCGAAAAAAAATCCAAAATCATATTGGAATTCCCATGGATGATGTACTCTTTTTTTTTTCTACTATAACTACACTGAATAAAAGCATCGATTGAAAAACCATAACTCGAGCTTAGATTCATCTTCAATTGTCGCAGTTTCTTTGCAGCAGAACAATTTAATCAGCATCACAAGATCAGCTAACAATTTGACTTGGATCTAGCTTAGTTTCTGAGAAAATATTGCCCTCAGCTCTAGTCGATACTTGGAATCTAGCTCTGGGCTGTACAGGATTGGGGAATATCTGATGGAAGTAAAAATCTATTGAGCATCGCAACAAATTACGAACTGCTCTTGATAGTTTCACCCTTGATCACAGTCACTGAGAGGACTTGCACAGATTAGGGTTTGCCAATCATAAATACCCTTGTCAATATAGGAGTTTTTGTAAGAGCTCCTGCATATAACAACTTTGGCTTTGTGTGTAGATAAGATATATATTAAAAAATATGGAAAAAAAAATTGTCTAAAAAAATTAAAAATTAAAAAAAAAGCCATACATTTGTACATTATATTAAAATTTTTAAATAAATTTCAAAATTAATATAAGCGAAAATAAATTAAAATACTTAATAGTGAGAAATATTTAAATAATATCTGATATATCTAATATTTATTTGATATCTGTAAGCATATATCAAACACAGCAATTGCAAAATGAATTTAATATTATTTGTGTGTGTATATACACGTACATGTGCATATGTGTAAAGCCCTTAAATTAGTCAGCTGTACAATTTGTTTCATTCAATTGCAGTATTAAGCCCGCTCCTAGCGCACAAATGCAATTCATTTCGAATTTTGTGTCATTCATATACATAAATATATGTATGTATATGTATATAATACATATGCACTTGCATACATATAGCTGCCGAGTCAGACAAATAAACCCATTGATATGGGGTCAAATTTAATCAGTGCAGCCTTTGCAAAATGCATGCATTTATTTATTCAATTTGCAAAATGTCAGGCGAGCGAACGCGCGCGACTCTCTGGGCTTTTCAGTTGCATTGGCGAGTGGAGCGCGAGTTAAGTTGGCAAAACATATTCAATTATGCATTGGATTAGGTTTGGCCTCAAATTACGTAGCCTTTGTGCCAGGCCAGGCCAGGCCAAGCCAATGTGTATGTGTGTGTGTGTGACAACTCGACACTCAACACTCGACTGTCTCTCGGTCTGTCTAACTGTCTGCTGTGGTCTGTGCTCTATGCTCTCTCTGCTCTCTGTGCCCCGTTGCCTTGATTTTTGCTGGGCGAGCAAAGTTTGTGTCGCATAACTTTTTCGATTTGATTAAGCTGACTAACTGTAAATTGATTGCATTGTAAGACGCTAATTGGCTGGTTGTCCGTTGTCTAACTTTCGAGTCAAGTTCGCTGGCGCTGTTGCAGTTGCTGTCAGCGATAAATTGCGTATACGCCACGTAGCCAGCGTACAGCTGACGCAGGCCCAAGCAGCAACGGGAACAGCAACGGGCAACGGTAATGGCAACTACAATGGCAACAGCAACAGCAGCAGCAACATTAACAGCCACGGTAGCGGCAACAGCAATGGCAGCAACAACATTGCCCGCATTTGTATAAATATTGACAAATAAAATAATAATATTGTTGCGTTTGTTTGGCTTGCGTTTATTTTCATGTTATTTGCTTTCGTTTTGGTTTTTTTTTTTCTGTGCTCTCTTAGCGTTTCGGTTTGTATTTTTTTTTTGTTTTCAATTTTTTCCACTTATATTTATTTCTGTTTTTTTTTTTGTTTTTTTTTTTTTTTTTTTAATTTTTTCCCCTTTTATTTTTTTTTGTTTTTTTTTTTGTTTTTTTTTTTTTTTTGTTCTGCTGTGTTAACAGCCGAGTGAGCTGTTCAAAGTCAATTTTAAGGCCAAAGTCAACACAGTGCCACAAGCAGCTGACGACACTAGCAAACAGTCGGCAAAAGTGTTGCATAACTGTAGGCGACACATTGAGTGTTATATAAACGATGAAATATGAAGAAGAATATATTGAACGAATAGCAGCATTGTCCCCGTCTATCTCACATTGAAAGTCGTAGAAATCGAACATGAAATCAAGTCTTATATAAATAGCGTTAGCTTTTCGCCCTCACTTAATTGGATTTCACAAAGTAAGGCAAATGAAGACCAGATAAAACGGAAAGCGAATTGCAATATAAAAATGGAATGGGGTACTTTTAAAGAAAGTGCAGTGAATGCGCTTTTCAGCTCCAGTAAGCGCAAGAGGAGATGCATAAGACAACAACGGATATTTTATAGACCAATAAAGATGTTCGAGAAGCGAAGTTGAGATATTAAAGACATTGAGTTTTACTTGTCGATATGGCAAGTCGATTAACGAGTGAGCAAAATTCTCAAACTTCAGACACCTCAGCACTCCACATTAAAGTCTTCTACATATATTCGCTCTCATTGCAAATAGAAAACTTTTTTAGCTTGTGCATTTGCTCTGATATGCAAAATCTCATATCTAATTTAATTTTCTTTGTCAAGGCTAACATAAACTTTGCCTTGCTGCGACACTAAACTCGAACCCAATCGAATTTTCTAACTCTCAATTGATTTTAGTATTGAGTTGAGCAATTATAAAGTTTAAATATTTGTTTTTGTTGATCCCAATCGAATTACGCAATTGAAACTATCAGAATTGTATAATGAATAGATGATGTATGCATTTTTAGAAAAATTAAACTAAAATTAATTTCAGCATCTTGGGCAATTTTGAATATTTTTAATTAAATTTTAATTTCATTTTATCTAAATATTTATACATTTAGTTATTGAAAAATTTTACTCTGCCTTTGACTTGAGTTTATTAAACAAGCAATTTAATTTAATTTTTTTTCTTTCATTTTTCAATTACGTAAAATAGTTTAATCATTCTCTAGAATATATATCTATGTATATCTATATAGTTTAACTTACCGCACGTTGGCCAGAGTATGTCGTCGATTCTTCAGATAGCGACTGTGATACTTCTGCAGATCACCAATGGAGCCCTGTTCGGCCTGCATTTTGGTGGTGGACAGCAGCTGCGAGTTGCTGGGATGCGAGGCGAGCGCCGATGCTGAGGAGGAGGCCAAGCGATGATGGGCAGCGACGCCGACGCTGACGCTGCTGCTGTTGTTTGTGTTTGTGTTGCCGGTGCTGCCGCTCGACGCTAGAGTCTCGTTCGAGTTGCTGCCAATAACGGTCGCCGACGATGAGCCGCCCCCGCTGCTGCCAATGGGCGCGAGTACAATGCGTGACCAGCACGATTTGTGCGGCTTGCGAAATTTGAGCTTGATGCGCGGCGATGGCGTCGATGCGCCGCCAACGTATTCCGGCTGTACGGCACCGCCACCGGCTGTCGCCGACGATGAAGTGCCCGAGCTGTGGTGCACACTCTCGCAGCTGCCACAATAGCCGCCGCCGGCAATGGTAATCGGCGGCAGAGGCTCCTCAAGGCCCTTGATGGGACTGCTGCTAATCGGCTGCCGGCTGTTGCCCGCCTGCTGCAGATGCTGTTGCTCGGACTCTTCCTCCTCCTTGATGTGGGGCAGTGGTGAGGTCTGCGGCTGGCAACTGCAACGCTGTTGCGCCGTTGAGCCACCTGCTACGCCGGATGCTGCTGCTGCTGCTGCTGCGGCTGCTGTTGATGCTACTGTTGTTGGTGGCGTTGCTCCAGCAGTTCCGCTGCCGCTGCTGCTGCTCGACGGTTGATTAACTGATTGATAGACGCCGCTGGGCGACGGCGACGTTGAGGAGATGCTTGTGGCTGTGGATAGCAGCGTTGCTGCTGTCGACGCTGAGTTGGCTGTCGTCAGGCTGGTCACTTCGGGCAGCGCTAGGCTGGGCGCAGTGCTAGCTGTCACTGTGTGCGAGAGCTGCAGCACCACCACGGTGGGTGAGACGCTGGCGTCGCTAAGGGTTTCGGGCTCGGCGCGTCTGGCTACCAAGCCGCTGGCCAAGCTCGCGGCTGCAATGTCCGCTGCGCTCAGCTGCTGTTCCAAATCCTCGTCAACGTCGTTGATGAGGGTCTTCAGGGAGATGGGCGTGGTGACCGATGTACCGATTGTATCTGCGAGCGAATGTTTCTTTTCACCGCCACCGATTGCCTCCAAGTCGGTGTCGAGTTGTTGCTGCTGTTGTTGTTGTTGTTGCTGTTGCTGCTGGGGCAGGTCCTTATCTGCCAGAGCCTCTGCTGCTGCTGTCTGTGCCTTGGGTTTCAGTTCGTCCGGTGTCTGCGCGGGAGTTTGGGGCGGACTTGTGGCGGGGGCTGCGGAGCCGCCCCCGCGACAAGGTAGGCAACAGCGAAACACTGTGCCACCGAAACACTTTGTCCGTGGCTTCGACTTGCGCTTGCTACTATTGGTGTTGCCACTGCAACTGCCGCTGCCGGTGCCGGTGCCGGTGCCGCTGCCGCCGCTACTGCTGCTGCTCCGCGTCGCTGCTGTCCCTGGCGCTGTGGCCGCCAGGCCGTTGACGTTGACGCTGCTGCCAATGCTCTGCCCCGCACCGTTGCTGCTGCTGCTGCCGTGACGCTGCGAGCGAAACAGAGAATGAGAGGGAGAATGAGAGAATTAGAGAGACACCTGGGTGAGTGGCATAAATGAATGAAACTAAGTGTCATCAAGGGCTAAGCCCAATTAATTTGCCCCATCTGCCCCCAGCCCCTGTGAACCTTGGCGTGCGACTGATCCGCGCACTTTTGCGTTGCATTTCTGAGCGATAAGCTTTGCGTCAGCTTCGCCAGTCGCATCATGAATGCAGCCACGCCCACTTAAGCTACAGCTACAGCTTTAATACGTGGCTCTGACAACGACATCACTTCCACACCGCGCAACATTCAGTTAGTGTCCTGAAATGATAAAGACAAAAGGAAAAGATGGAATTATTAGTTAATTAATTAATTATGCACATTTTAATTGGTAGAAGCTCGAGAATTTGACACTGGATTATGTTAAAAAAGTGATAATTGTCATTGTCATTGTCATTGTCATTGTCATTGTCATTGTCATTGTCATTGTC